AGTCCCCATAGATTTAATTAGACTCTTTTGATCACTAATTTAATTCTAAATTAATTCTTGATCAATACTAATTAAAACATATGATTTCACATTAAAATATTATAACTTATAATATATTAATAAATCATATATATAACCTTCTCTCAAGAATCCATCTTAACAAATTGTCCTGATGATATGCAGCCCAAATGGACCATGCTACTCTCAGGTCAAGTACATACCAATAATAGTTATAGACTTAGACATCTAATCCAACATAAATATCATGTGAGGCTCACTTATTTTCCTCACACCTCAACCCTTCTCTTTCTTTCTTTCTTTCTCTCTCTCTCTCTCTAACTTCTTTCTAAATCTCCCCCAACCTCTAGTAACTTCTAAGAGCTAGAGGAAAGCCCCGGAGTGCCAGACGGATCCGAGAAGAAGAGCTTTTGGCTCAGAAGTTCTACCCCCACAGAACCTGGTTCCTAGCCAAACCCCCGGTAAGTGAGATATGCTTACCCTACTTTAAGTATAACTTATGTTTAAGTTTATTATTGTTATTATAAACTTATATAAAAATAAATATAATATACAAAGTGTTATTATAATATCTTTTAACTACCCGCGGTACAAGGAATCTGGTTTGAAGGGTCGCATAGGGTTGTTGGATTTCAGAAGTGCTATAATGCCAAAATGGTCATGCGCTCCGGTGTTTCATGTTTGGCCCCTGTCTGTACATAGTAGTTGAAAAGTATTGTTTAACACTTATAAAACAATATTGCTCGTAAATAGTCACAATAAATATTAGACTAAAATCTAGTGGTAATGATACTAGGTTTCGTCGAAGGAAAATAGAATTATTAGAAGCGAAGCGATGCCCGAGTTGAGAATCATCACTTTAACAAGTGAGTGCATAGTTACTTTCATCTTACACATAGATCTGAAGTATTTAATATAAATTATGTGTTATGTGTGCATATTATTTGTGTTCTTGATATATATATTGGAATATACATGTTTGCAAATTATATATGTATTTTATACCTATAAAAATATTGGGTAAAGATGGGTAGATGAATGATGAGGGAGGAAAGTTGATATAGATGAACATTGACAGCTATGGACTTAGTGGCCTATAGATAAACATTGGCAGTTGCACCACAACCTATAGATGTTTTTGAACTACGATGCACTCTAAACATTCTGCCAGCTGTGCCTAAAGGATAATATCGATAACTGCGCCTAATAGAGAACATCATAATCCTGGCAGTTGCGCTTAAATGATAATATCGACAGCTGCGCCTAATAGAGAATGTCATTATCCTGGCAGTTGCACTTAATGAATATTAGCAGCTGTACCTAATAGACAACATTAGCAGTTGTAAGATAGGCAACGATGGACTCCATGCCTATTCCTTAGGAATGAATAAGTGAATGATAGATGATTCCTAGGGGGTGTTTGGTACAAAGAAATAGAATTACAACAGAGAAAAAGAATTAACCTGGAGAAAGAGAATTGATAGAACTGGGGAATGCATTAGAGAAATGTTTATGAGAATCATTTCTCTTGTTTGGTTGTATTAAGCAGTGAAATGAAAATGAGTTTTTTTACCTTGTTTATTCATTTTCAAACAACATTTTATTTTATAAAAACGCATTATGATATACATCTTAATTTGTAAAAATATGCATCTTTTATTTTTATAATTTTTCATTTTAACATTATTTGTTACAAAATAATTTATTTTCTTGTCAATTAATATTACTCGTTATACATGAAGTATTGAAAACCTTATTTATAATATAAATGAATAAGTTACAAATAGATTCAAACTAAAAAATATTATCACACCACATAATAATTACAAAATATAAACAACAATAATGAAATAATGATAGAGTTGTTGAATCATTAAACATTATATCAACACCACAAAATAAATAATGAAGTTTACATAAAAATATGAAATTAACGAATTGTTGGCATGCCTTCCACTTCACTCTTTTTCGTACAATTTATTGTTGCAAAGTTGATCGTGTCATTTACATATATACAAACAAGTGGGAGTTAGTAAAAAACTCTACATAATGTTGAAATAGCTTACAAAATTCCTAACAGCCACTGTTTATAGTGGCATAACTTCAAAAAAAAAAAACTAAACCAAATAAGCTATTTTTATTTCTAAAGCATAGAATGGAGTGCGCACTACAATCTGGAAAAAAATCACATCATTCCGAGCTTATATGAAAATGTTATGATGGTTCAAAGTTAGACAAAATATAAAAAATGTTGAAATACTTTACAATAATCCTAACAACTACTTTTTAGAGCTGTATAAAATCAGCCAAAACTCAACCAAACAAGCTATTTTTTTTATACTAAAACATAGACAAGAAAGAAGATTATAATCTGGAAAAATAATACCTCATTCCGAGCTCATATGCAGATTTTATGCTGCTTCAAACATGGACAAAAAATATAAAAAAATGTTGAAATACTTCACAATAATCCTAACAGCTGTTGTTTAGAACTGCATAAATCAGCCAAAACTCAACCAAACAAGCTATTTTTTTATCCTAAATCATAGACAAGAAATAGGACCACAATCTAGAAAAAAGATCACCTCATTCCGAGCTCATATGCAGGTTTTATGCTGCTTCAAACTTGGACAACAAATATAAAAAATGCTAAAATACTTTACAATAATCCTAACAACTACTGTTTAGAGCTGTATAACTCAGCCAAAACTCAACCAAACAAGCTATTTTTTGAGCCTAAAACATAGACAAGAAAGAGGACTACAAGCTGGAAAAAAAATCATCTCATTCCGAGCTCATTTGCATATTTTATGATGCTTCAAAGTTCGACAAAAAATCTAAAAAATGTTGAAATACTTTACAACAACACTAACAACCCTTATTTATGGATGTATAACTTAGCCAAATCTTAATCAACTAAGGTGTTTTATGATCATACAATGTTGCCAAGATTAAGGAGTACAATCGAGTAAAAAAAATCAGGTAATATCGATCTAGTATGATGATTTTATAGGGGTTCAAATTGGACAAAAAGTTTAAATGAAAAACAAACTTAATAAGCAATAACACACGGGAGAAATCATTACACTATAAAATCAATATCAATGTATAGATAAAAAGTCTTTTCAGGACGTAAAAATGGAGATGTCATAATATTCTTCAAGATTACGAATGAAGTAAACAGAAAATTGCTCCAACTCTTTATCTATTTTCTTAGGAGAACTGTCATCTCAAATCGGCATCTTATCAGTTGGTGCTTTCGTCATGATCATCATGTCTTTAAAATCCGAAACCAAAGTTGAGGAACCTCACACCACAAATGAAAAGATCATAACTTTCCTCCACCTTAACACTGTTACTAACCACCGTCTAGATGCTATCTCACAAAGTCGGGTCAATTTATTCGACATCCTCAACAACCAACACATCAACCAACCGTCGCCACCGCGAGCCAACAACCAGAACCTCCGTTATATCCTGTCACCGTCACCACAACCATCAAAGTCGCTACCATCCCTGAAAATAATATCACTGGAATCCCCACCGCCACTTCCGCCATCTTCACAATTTCACTTGTTCACACCCCGTTACCAAGTAACCGCTGCCAACCCAATCGAAACCACTACTTCTGCCACCGATAACACCACAAACCTCATAATCGCCACCACTATTATCGTCTTCTGAACCATTGCTACCAAAAAGGCACCACCACCCTTGACGTAACCACCACTACTATAGTTATCACCAGTGGCAGACCTTAATGGAGCATTGGGGGTCCCGGGCCATTGCTCAATTTTTGGCACGTAGTGTAATTTTTTTTTTCTATTAGATGCACCGGTTTGAAGTACAAGGGACACCCCTACTAAAACAGTTTGCGTCCGCGTCCGCCACTGGTCATCACCACCACCACCATAAACTATTTACGGCAATATCTCACCACTCTAAACTATGCAACCGAACAAAATTTCTCCTTCTTCAATTGGAACCCAACCCACTGTGGACTTCCAAAGCATATCATGATCCTGACCTTGAGGACATGACCATTTTGGAGGGGCAGAGTATTGATATGATAATCCAAATGGATCAATGAAGAAGTAAGGCCCAAGAGAGACAAACATCTGCAAGGGCAGCAAGGCTATTCGACTCAGAGTCCAGGAAGAATAGGTCATTGAGTTAAGTTGTATTTCCTTGTTTTTAGCATTACTTGCATAGTTTGGTCCATGACCATTTTAAGTCTTGTTCTGCATGCATGTTTATTTGACTTTGACTGTAATGCATCCTTCAAGATTATGAATGAAGTAAACATAAAACTACTCCAACTCTTTATCTATTTTCTTGGGAGAATTGTCATCTCAAATTGGCATCTTAACGGGTTGTCTCTAAATACTTGTGTATATATTCAAATTATAAGTGTTTTTAAGTTCTTTAATCATGTCATTGAGTGTGGAGTGTTATTCCATAGTGAGTTTTGTTATGTAAATTATATTTCAGGAATAAGATCAAGGTTTGAGGTTTCTTTATAAAATGTAAGATTCCATGTGAATACGGTTTTACAAATTAATAACGATTATTAAGCAAAGAATAAGGCATCCAAGCTAGGTACCAATTCAGAGCAAAAGAAATTTAGGTACAAAAGGAATAAACCAAAGAGTTTGCTTTCGATGACAATTAAAGTTCATGCATGGAAAAGAAAAAGAAGATTTCAAAATTTACTGCTTCATAGCTTTAGATATATGAGGAATGATCCCAAATAAAACCCGGATTTTTTTTTAATAATTAATTTGGTTCAACTAAACACATGAAATTTGCATATATGTGAAATAATTTTACATTGCATTTATCATTTAGATAAAAATGCCCAACCTTAGTTTTTGCATTTTCGTGATGGTCAATAAATTCAGCAATGAAAAACTTTGATTTCCTCATTTGTGATTTAAGATCTAAAACAGGCATCAAGTTAACATTATCTCGATCTAAAGACTTCAAGACAATTGCCAGTCTTTTCTGATGTCGAATGTATAGTTCAAATCCAAGTAACACTTATTATCGTCATCAAGGAACTACAAAAGATAGAGTTAACCACAAAAAAAGAGTTGTTAGAAGATTCTAGGAGGTATGTAATCTGCCTACTTATTTGACAAAAGACTGAAACCTGAAATTCGTTACCTTAGTTTTGGCAGAATATGATCCTCTAGCAAGTATACCAGAAGGCGTAGTATCTTCTGGAATTTCATGGGTATAAAGCTCTTGTTGAGGACTAAAAGTGCCAATCATTTCTTTCGTCTTGTCAACTGTATAGAACATATCAGTCGACTGTTTAAGATTATGTAAAAAATAGACGATACGTGTGTAGAAATGGAACATACCTCTGAGACCAGTTTTCCAAACAGTGTTGGTGTACTTGAGGCCCGATACAATGTTGTTATGAACTTCGAAAGCGAATTTGATAGTGTAACGACTTCCTTCTTTAAGTGTAAACCATGTTCCTTTGATTTTTCCATTATCAGGAATTGGAAGAACCAAATCCTGTCTACCAGGAGATACAATAGCAAGGCTCAAAATCTTGACTTCTGGATCTAGAGTTTCTGCAACAATAATAATAGCATCCGAGCAATAAAGACTATCAGAAATTAACAAAAACTAAAACAACTTTTTTTATTTTAAGGAAAACAAATTAATGGGTTTCACAATTTTTTTTTTTTTGCTCAACAAAAACAATATTTTTCATACGAGAATCATCTTCATACACGAAAAATGATTGAATAATGTTTCTTGATACTTGTGGTAGGGCTTGTTTTGCGACACTAAGTGGCCTAGACAATAGACATCATTATATGTCCTTCACAATCTAATTTCTAACAACGTACTCAAATAAAAGCATTAAATTTTGGAACCTTTTTTTTAATGAATTTACCTGCAACAGCGTTAATATCCACAGATCCAAGAAGTTGTTCTTTCCATCTCATCAAGCTTTCATCGTCCTACATACTCATCATTAAGACACAAGTTTTAGAGGTAAAAACTTTGATTCTGGAACAAGAAAACTTCAAAAATGAAGTTACTTTAAGCGATTACAACTGATCAATGCATATCCGAAGGTATAATAAATCTCCATATGTCTGGAACATTGTTCAATGGTTAACAACGGAAAAGAAAAGGAAATGAACTAACCTTATCAGCTTCATACTGTTCTTTAAGGGTGCGTCGAGGGCCGATTTCTAACTTCCCTTGAACATCTTCATCTTCTTCGTCTTCTATTATGCTTACAGAGCTCTGGCTCATGTTCCTATCAATCTTAGCCACCCAAGCAGAATCTTCAACCTCTACATTAGCTCCTGAGTTTTCGATATTTTGGTCTTTTTGATCATCGCTCTCCTGTTTTTCAACAAATCCCATGGCTTTGGAACTTGAAACGATATCTACTATTAACAGCTCGTAGGGAATTCCATTCAACAATTAATGGTGTTATATTGAAAACAGACAAATACTAAAGATCTTAAATTGCCAAAGAATAAAGACCAATGATGAAAGTACAAAGACTGGTATGGCTTTATAGGTCCATACGGGAAAGAATAACGTGGGTGGTGAACCACAAAGCTCTTTTGTTATTAAAATATTGAACATGGAATATTTAAAAACAGATAGTTTTGTTTTTGGGTCAAAAAAATTTGGAAAAGGAAAATAAATCCTAAAGGAATTGTACCCATCATCTATCCAACAAGATAAGACACAGTAAAACGAGAGAGATGATAGAAATATTTTTTTTTATGTTTGATAATTTGAAGCACAAAGAGAGGGAATATTGGTCATGTCACATGTGAATTGTGATGATCTTGAGAATATTATCTACTGAAAAGAATAATGAGGAAGAGAGAGATCATGAAGGTCACTAAGGTGCACTATCTTCCACGAATATGAGACCACGATTTCAGGGGAAACTCAATACATTAGACAGCCTAGCATTGAGTTGATATATAACTAGAGATGAAAGATACCCGCTTGACTTCTTCTGTTTGTGCATAACCCAAATTGAGCATTCTTTACAATTTCCACAAATATTATTAAAACAACATATGGCTCACGTACTTTCATCTTGATCTAGCTAGCTACTGAACTTGATTTAAATAGAATATTCAAAGATGGGTGTAATACCTAACCAAGGTACAACAGCCATGTCTATAAGGCTTTAACCCGCCCACAACATCATGAAGAGCATTGCAAATACAGGTTCTGGTTTCTGATTTCTTTAATTAGCCGGAACTTACAATTGAGACCTCAGCCAATAAGCAGAAGCAACTGCATGATACTCTAAGAAAAACGTACTTTCTTCTTCTTTGTTTAATGCTTGTCTACTAGTAACTAAACACTCCTCATTCTTGTGCCAGTAAACCTTCACCGGAGCTTGCACATCAACGTCACACACAGCCACAACAGTAACGGGGTTTTGACATGTGAAATGTGATCCCATGCTCGCTGTTGAGTCAAACTCTCTCAAAGATCATGAGGATGCAGCCCTGCTTTTCATACCTGATGAAGACAACCAGAAACTTCTCACTCCTCTCTCTATGCCATGGAAAGCGATATATAGTGATCAGTTATATATCTCTATTTCTTGTAGCTCTCTTTCAATCCTCTTAGCCTAATAAAGTTTTAGGCCGTTTTCTTGCACTCTCTCCAATGGAATTTTCCACATTTCTTGCAGGTAGGAGTCTCTCCTTTCTTTGAACTCCCACTAGACCCTCGACTCTTCTTTTTGAAACCGCCTTATTCAACTTCAAATCTCTTCTCTCCAACCCTTTACTTCTTTCTTACCTTCCTCACAATCATATCCTCAATATTCTGAGCAGCCATAATAGCATCATAGAGAGAGTAAGGACTTTCTTCACCTCAACCTCATACTCAACACTCAACATGTAATCTTTTCACAAAGTGCCTAATACAAACCCTCTCAGTCGGAAGAACATCTCTAATAAACAACATCCTATCTGAAAATTCTTTCGCATACTCTTCCACCGATAGGTCTCCTTTCTTCAAATCAAAGAACTCATCAACCATCTTTTTGATATCACAAGGAACACAATACTTAGTTTTTATCTACCCAACAAACTCATCCCAAGACATATTTTCTTCAGCATCATCTCCCAAAGTTTGGCATACTCTCTCCCACCAAATATGGGCATGACCCCTTGGCACTTGCAAAGCATAGATAACACTCTGATCATCCCGGCATCCAATAGCTCTGAGAATTTGATTTGTTCCGGTGATATATTTCATAGTCACCTTCGGGTCACGACTCCCCTCATATTCACTTATCTTGCACTGCATGAAAGACCTGAAAGAACTTCCCCTCTTCTTTGATTGTGATGGATGGGTGTAGCGAGAGAGGACCCTTGAGTTCGGGACAGGTTGATGACAAATTGTTCAAACATTTACTAAAAAAAAGATGGTGCGGTTTCTATTTTTGATTAACCAAATACATATGGTTCGGTTATAGTTTTCATCCAAAATCAAACCACTAAAAATGTAACATCCCCTTCTGGCACGTATCACAATATTGTTCGCTTTGGGCTACTCGGCACGAGGACTTCCCAGGGGGTCACCCATCCTGCTACTACTCCCGCCCGAGCATGCTTAACTGCAGAGTTCTTATGGGATCTGCTGCCCTCACGGCTTTAAAACGCGTTGTGATAGGGAAGGTATCCACACCCCTTATAAGGAATACTTAGTTCTCCTTTCCAGCCGATGTGGGATCAGATCTAACCCACTTTCACCCCCCATTATAGGGTTCGACGTCCCCGTCGAACACATCGACCCGTGCCCTGGCTCTGATACCATTTGTAACATCCCCCTCTAGCACGTATCACAATATTGTCCGCTTTGGGCCACTCGGTACGAGGACTTCCCAGGGGGTCACCCATCCTGGTACTACTCCCCTATAAGGAATGCTTAGTTCTCCTTCCCAGATCGAACCCTATAATGGAGGGTGAAAGTGGGTTAGATCTGATCCCACATCGGCTGGGAAGGAGAACTAAGCATTCTTATAAGGGGTGTGGATACCTTCCCTATCACAATGCGTTTTAAAGCCGTGAGGGCAGCAGATCCCATAAGAACTCTGCAGTTAAGCGTGCTCGGGCGGGAGTAGTACCAGGATGGGTGACCCCCTGGGAAGTCCTCGTACCGAGTGGCCCAAAGCGGACAATATTGTGATACGTGCTAGAGGGGGATGTTACAAATGGTATCAGAGCCAGGGCACGGGTCGATGTGTTCGACGGGGACGTCGAACCCTATAATGGGGGGTGAAAGTGGGTTAGATCTGATCCCACATCGGCTGGGAAGGAGAACTAAGTATTCCTTATAAGGGGTGTGGATACCTTCCATATCACAATGCATTTTAAAGCGTGAGGGCAGCAGATCCCATAAGAACTCTGCAGTTAAGCGTGCTCGGGCGGGAGTAGTACCAGGATGGGTGACCCCCTGGGAAGTCCTCGTGCTGAGTGGCCCAAAGCGGACAATATTGTGATACGTGCCAGAGGGGGATGTTACAAAAAACCAAATTGAACCAATAATATTAATAATTATTTTTTATATAATATAATATTAAATATATGATAAGTAATTATATTTGGAATTGCAACTTTAAAGAGTAGTTGTTTTGAATTAAATAGGATACCTAATCTTTTATCATATTTATATAGTTATAAACACCAAATTGTTCAGTTTTTATAACAATGTACTTTATGTTTTTCATTTTTTATAGCAAAGTATTTTTTATTTTTATCTCATTTTCGACTATTATAGTTAACCAATATTAACCATTAACCGATAAAAACCGTTAACCGAAAAAAAAAATATTAACAAATACTCAATGGCTACCAAAATACATTAACCACTTATAATGGATATGGTTCGGTTTTAGCTAAAAATCGAACCAAACCGCCCTACACACCCCTATCTGCAGAAGACGGTGCACCCTCAGGGGCGTCTGGGGTGCTCCAAGATGAGCATTCAATGTTCGATTCATTTATTGGTGGTTCTCTTATTTTAGTTCATCAAGGAGCATCTTAATAGCTTCCATGGTGACTGTTTGGGGATTCCCTCTAGGCACAGAAGTCCCTTCGCACTCTTGTGGATCTATTTCGCTTCTAGTCAGATCTATTATATAACCATAAACCATTTAACGTGAATAAGCTGATTCATGTAATCTAACAATTAAAAATTATAAAAGCATTAAAGGAAAATGCCCTAAAACACTTTGGTTCTTTCTTTCTTCTCACATAGTTTAAATCTAGGTTAGGACAGTCCAACCTAATTCTCTTAAGCTATGGCTCTAATACTAACTATAACAACTTGTACTTTTCAGTTTTCATAAACATTTAACATTTAAATACTGTGAGAAATCTAAGAGCTTACATAAGCGATACCAAAAACCATAGCTTCAAAAACTTTAAAAATAGTATTCCCAGCTAAACATCCACAAGTGTTACTAAATTTATATGACAACCATAAATAAGCAAACAAGGGTAAATGTGAAACAAAAGTCTAGTCCATAATCTTTGATGCTTCTAAGCCCTCACTCTCTAATGCTTGCTACCTGAACCTGTTAAATACATGGAAACAATATCTCTCAGACTATAAGTCTGGTGAGTTATAACATATTATAATACAACATAAGCACACAAGACATATTTTTCTTGTCACATAAGTAACCAAGCATCTACACATATACCAAGTGATAAACAACTGATCATCAACATCTTGGTTTCCATGTAAGCTCTAAACATAGTCTTCCTATGGATCCCTTAATCTAACTTTTTGCATGCATATACATACACATCATAAAACATAACACAAGTTATGTATCCTAACAACAATCTAACAATGATGTGAATGTAATTAACAATTACATCCATACATTCACATTCTTTCACATGTACTACATCACATAAACATACTTTAAATAATATTTTAGGCTTTCATTAACATTAACATTTCTAGGGTTTCAAAAGCCAAGAATCAAATCATAGATTTCAACCATAATAACTTCATGCAAACCATAGATTAAGCCCATAAATACTTAATCAAGAATTATTAACAAGTTCACTTGAAGACTTCTTGCATCAAAACCTCAAACTTGAACTCTACCATTAAATCCATCAAAAGCTTGAAAATGAAGCAACCAATAACTAAGAGAGCTTGAGATGATCTTACCCAGTCCTAAGCACTTGAACCCTTCTTAATAACCAAATCTACAAAGGAGAGCTCTAGAGGAAATGGGGGTCGATAATGAAAAAATGAGCCCTAACCTCGGATTTTAATCATGCTCGAAACCGCACCGCGGTGGGTTAAATAATCGTGCGGTCTCCATTTTTCCACATCATGACGACCATTATCTATAACAACGTGCTTTGCCCACCATGTCGTGGCACCCATACACCATGCCGCAGAACAAAAGTACATTTTCTATGACTTATAATAGAGGAAAGCTCAAATCACCACCTCGTTCAACACATTGTGACAATCTTCTTACCGTGCCGTTGTGAGACTGAATTTAGC